CCCCCCCCGCGCGCGCCATGCCCTACGTAGGACGCGCCCCAGCAGCGGCTGGTGACGGCGCAGCTACACCCCTCGGCACCCTCGCATTTTTTTCTCAACCCGCCAACTAGGCAGGGGACGAAAACCCCCACCGCGGGTACAGCCGCTGGCGGTGCTGAGGCGACGGCGGCGATTGGTGCGTCCGCGCCATCACAATCACAACAGGCGACGACAAAGCAGGCTGCGACAACGCCTAGTACCCGGCCATGTTCGTCAACAATGATGATGGGCACCGAAGGCGCCTCAGCGGTAGCGACCCCGGCCCCGGTGACCTAGCCGCCTCCTACGCTTGCTTGTTGCCCGGTTCCGACAACACTGCGCGCACAAGAACAGCAGTCGACCAGTTTGTGTGTGCGTGCGTGTTGTATTATTTTTTAGCTTACAGTACAGTGAACGCGCGAGCCGGCTGTGTAGTCGGGATGACCGGAAAATTTTCATTCTCCAGAATTATTTGTTAGCCCTTGTTTGTTTGCCCGCCGGGGTCTGCAGTCTGTGCCTAAATGACCGAGAGGATATAGAGGGCGCCTGGCAATCTGCTGGCGCATGGGGGTTGCGCGAAGGCGGCAGAGATTAGTAGTCGGGGGTGACTGCGCATACCCGTACGATGAGACCCAACGGATAGAATGTTGGATGGGGCGTGCGGCGGCAAGCAGCCTGATTCAGAGCATTGATCGTTGGGCGATGAAAGCTCATCCGTTATGCATGCAACAAATCTCACATTTTTTTTTTAGTTTCTTGAGGGGGGGCAAGCACTGCAACGAGTTCGGTGCACAGAGACGGTCCCAACGCAGGCAGGCATCGATATGGATGGAGGAGTGATTGCTAGAATGGATGGTGGTAGAGGTGCTAGAGAGGGAAGAAAACTCTTTGTGTGGCCTTCCTCCTGCGCGGCCCCCGCTGGTGATGCGTTCCAAACACAGACAGAGCGAAGGTGGGTGTGTTACAGAGGGCCGTCAAGGAATCCAGAATGTATCTATTCCTTCCATCCCTGTATAGCAGGTAGACTTCACGTTTCTCGCCCGGCGTGCACAAATGCAAGGCAGGCGGGCGTGGTGGAACTCAGGGCTACCGGTGGGCTGGTGAACGCTCTTTTGGACTCAAGGAAGATATCGGAAAAGAAGAGTTATGACAACAACGGCAAGACGATTGCAACATGTGTAAAATGTAGCATACAACGTAGTCGAAGGTATTTAGCCTGTGATTTGCTGTGTGTGATCATCGATGAGAGGAGGGTAGATGATGGTGGCACGCATATAGCATTGTTATAGTATAGGTTTGCAATCTCTTCGAACCGACCCCGGGAGGAACTTCTCCCCCCAAGACTACCGTGTGTCTTGTACTCTTATAGTTCTAAATCGCGGTCTCGCTGCTGCATCTGCAACTGCTGTGCCTCTCGCTACGGAGTTTCCCCCCCGGGTAGGGGATCGTTTTTTTATCTGATACCAACCCCCCCCCCGGGGGGAAATTGACGTANGCGCGAAGCGCCGTGAGGTATTCGGCGAGTCGCATGAAGGGTGCGCTGCATCCTGCTAAGGGTTTTCGGCATCTTGTGCTTACTTCCTTGCGTACGGATGACAGCTGCGTATGACTTAATTTACTTTCTGGTGCTTTCACTTCTTCCGGAGACAGTTGTAAGCACGGTGTAACTGCCTCGAGGGTGCTTGACCATTTGAACACAACGTGGTGCGATCATCCCCCTTGTGCGGAGTGAGGGTTTTCGACCCCGCACAACATGATCTACTCGACCACCATTATGGTTACCGCCAAAAAATAAACGGAGGTAAAAAAAAAAAACCGGTAACCTGGTTGCCGAGTTCACGAAGTGAATTGGCTTGCTTTACAACGTCGTTGCCAAGCGACGAAAACCCAACCCCGATGGCAAACATCGGGGGGGGAGGGGGTTACCGCGGGGGGGTTGTTTTTTTCCAACAATAATATCCCGGGGGGAAGCTCCCCCCCGAGGGGTTGTGCAAAATAATGGTCCACACACTACACACACAGAGAGGTGAAACTGAGATGGATAAAGCGTTACGAGCAAGCGTTCAACAACGAGAGGAAGGAGGAACGTAAGAGCAACAAAGGCGAAGAGAAAAAGGACAGCAATAGGTACCATTGCCTCTTCTCGTGCACAAGAATAAGCTGTTTTTATGCTTCGGTTCTACCCTGACTGAGTTGTGAGATCCAAAAAGGAACTGTACGATTATTTGTTCCCATTGTGCGCAAAGATTTCGTCAGCAGCATGCTAAACTGTTCGGTACGTTTCAGCTGACTCCAGGGATGATAAATGCAAGAAGTAGACAAAAAAACGAAAGCATTTCACCCATGAAACAAAGTCGAGGGCCAAGTGGCAAACGGTACACCTAAATCTCGCCCGATTCGAAGCGCAGATCTGCAAGCAAGTAACTTGTCTTCCAAATACCCAAAAAATTATTGATCATTGAATGAAAAAACACCCTATCTATATTTCTTTTTGAGTTTTTTTCTGTCCCATTTCATGCTTTTGTCCGCGATGCAACAAAATCGACTCAGGAAATAAGGGAAATACATCCCCCCCGAGGAGAACTCGTGGAAAAAATGCCCCGGGGGGAAATTGACATACATATCCGGCCGGGGGGATTTTTTTTTGGTCGAAAGCGAGATCTACCCCGGGGATAAATCAACGAACTCATGCTTCCAGGCCGAAAAGGTAACGGGGGGGGGGACGGACTCTAACCCGGGGGGAAAACTCCGTAGTTTGCGGTACACGAACGGTTTAGTTGCTCCGTTGTTAGTCCTTTCCATCGGTCTGTCTGTTTCAATGAGCATCAATCACATCATCAATCAATGATGGCAGTGTCTGATTAATAATAGACTTGCAGAAGACGTGATTGACTCAGCTACCCTTTGCGCATAGACTGTCAGCTCTAGACTGCAGCAGCACTGCTGTAGTTGCTTATTTGGTCAATCAACAGATATTCGAAATGATGGTCGATGATATGTGTGAGTTTTCGGATAAAGCAGTTCCCAACAACAAACCACCCAAAAATGGAACGCAGACGTTGGTTGAAAGAGTCGGGGATCATGGGGATGGCTCAAGGTGTCCGCTGAACGTTTTTCATATTTTTGGAGGTGTCCTTTTGTTGTAACACACATCACCACCATCACCGTAACATCGACCCGGGTGTGCAACGTACTCAAATCCGAACTCGAGACTACTCGGTCGATTCGTCCATTTCCAAAGATTCTGCCACAAAACCGGTCGCCCCGGTGGTCTAGTTGGTAACCTCGAAACCTTCGAGATAGAGGTCAGGTCAGGGGTTCGAATCCCGGTCAGTGAGTTTTTCTCTCGCTTCTGCTCCTGGCCTAGTTCGTGTGTACACAGAGGGAAGAGAGTGCTGAACTCTTCTCGCATTAAAAATCGAAGGCAAAGTTCCGCAGGAGGGGAGGGTAGAGAGGGGCTCTTCTGCGTGACCACGGGTTGGAGTAATACGGCACTATTTATAGTGCTGTCAGCGCTGATTTGAAGTGAAGCCTAAAAAAAAAAGATTCTGCCACAAAAGAGCCAGCATTGTTTCAGTTGCGTTGCAGAGCATTTTTTTTTTTCTCTCCCATTATTGGACAGAGCAACTTTTTTTGCTTTTTTTTTGGTGCTCTGCCCACCCCTATTTATGACGTTCTACTCGCCGCATGATTGGGACAGCTGATCGATGACGTGGGTTGTCCCTCGCTGAAATCAGATCTCTAACTGGCTCCAGCACTACTGCTGTGGCAAGAGAGCAGGGTGAGAAAAGCTTCAGAAATGTGCACCTGTGTGTTCTGTCTGTCTACTGCCTCGTTTTGCGCGCTTTTCGGAGCGACATGCAGAGGAGGGTATGCTCAACAGCAGTTTGTTGTTCGATTTTTATGTGTCCAAGGAGCATCCTTACATGTAGAGAGATTGATGCTGTTTAGTTGCCGAGTCCGCTTTGTTGTTGGTTGCTCTCTGTCCATTGGACGCAAGCTCTTCGTCCCAACAACTGCCAGGCGCTGGAAGCACAAGCCTAGAACACACTCGTCCACGCCTCTTTCCTTCCCGTGAAGCCCCTTGGTCTTACAGGCGTTGACCCAGCTCTCTTTTGTGTATGAGTACGACCCTCCGGCGTTCGTCTTCGGCCTGCTGTAGGTGCAACACCCGCCTGTGAAGTATGTCTAATTTTTTTAACTCTCCGCATTTCCCCATCTTCCCACTCCCGCCTTCCACCTCTCTCTTTCCGTTCCCCCCACCGAATCACACGGCAGCAGCAGCAGCGGCATCGATGGCTTGCGCTTCACAGACAGCAGCCCGCACGCCGGGGAAGGTAAAGCGCTGCTACCCTGTAGTCCACCGTATTCCCGTATAGCACACACAGCAGAAGCATGACAAATTAGCGAGCCCTTTTGTACTGCAAATGCAGTTGCTAGCCAGCTCCATCGCAAGCGTTGTTCTTGGCGCACCCACCGCATGCTAAATGTCGGAGATCGACTTGCAGGACGGAAACAGAATAGTGCTTCAGGAGCAGGCGGACATTCTCTTGTCCCATTTTGGTTGTGTTGACACGTGTTGCGCGCACACTCCCTGCCGCGGACAAGGACCCTGGAAACACATGCTGTCTGTGTGGTCGCATGATTTTGTCCGGCGACTGCTGTGCGTAGATCGACGAAGCTTTGTCGAAAGGGGTACGTTGTACAATGTGATCCCCCATGGGATACGGCGTCGCATCAAAAGGTCACGGGGATGCATACTACTGGCTTTGGTTTTGGACTCTAACGCGTGAAGGCGTGATGTGACCACCGGAAGGCGCCCGCATCGGTTGCACCGGTACAGTACCAGTATTGAACGGTGTTGAGCAGAAACCGACTTGATTTTGAACTTGAAGAAAACAACGAAAAGCGCGATTATCACCAAACCGATGTTAACCATCGTTGACTCAGACCTGTTTGAGCGCTACAACCAGAATATACGGCGTAGTATGCATGTTTCCTCCGAACAAGTCCTCCCTTGTATCAACGCAGTCCTCTTGGCTTGTGTATGCATCTACTGCATGCAGGAATGTTTCTATTTCTTCTGGTGAGCATGTGTAGCTTCCAAGTACACAAGGCAACAGCAAATTCATCCAAAGGGGGTCCTGCAAGGTGAAGGTGAAGAAGGCAGCAGGGCCAGTCCACCAGCCCACAGCTATGTCACTGACAGGTGCTGGTTGGGACGTATCCCAAGCTCCAACAGCTCACGCAGACTTGTTGGTGTAGACGTGTCAGGAAGAAGAAATGCAAACTCAGAAAGACTATGTAACCCATTCGAGATACAACCACAGCAGCAGTCAAACGAGACGTTTTAGTCTTTCCAGTGAGTGGAGGATTGGACGAGCCCAGCGAACCTCAAAGAACCGAAAAGCAAAAAATCCAGAGAATCCAAATCGGCAAATCGGGCAAATATGGAAATCCGAAAAAGTTTTGCCGGAATTGTGCGGACCAGGGTGGTACGAGTACAACAGCACACCAATAGATTGTTTCCTCCCCCTCGGGGTCAAAGGTTATTAGCACCGGGGGGGGGTGTACTCATAGTCGTGCATGCCGTAGTCGTTAGACCATTGACCTCGCATCCCTACAAAGCCGGGACGGAGCACGCCGGGTTCTCACCGGACCAGGCTCTCACATCACCAAGCGCGAAGCGCCGTGAGATATTCGGCGAGTCGCATGAAGGGTGCGCTGCATCCTGCTAAGGGTTTTCGGCATCTTGTGCTTACTTCCTTGCGTACGGATGACAGCTGCGTATGACTTAATTTATTTTCTCGTGCTTTTACTTCCAGAGACAGTTGTAAGCACTGTGTAACTGCCTCGAGGGTGCTTGACCATTTTAACACAACGTGGTGCGATCATCCCCCTTGCGCGGAGTGAGGGTTCTCCACCCCGCACAACATGATCTACTCGACCACCATTATGGTTACCGCCAAAAAAAAAAACAGAGGTAATACCGGGGGGCGCAACAAATGCAGAGTACGACGCGATGTAATAATTCGATTTATTTGCGTACCGGGCACGGACGGTGTTACGATAACACCGATATTAACCCGCTCGAGCGTACTACTGTAGATGATAGGGCGGGGTTAGTCAGCCGCGGGAAAGCCGACTCAATGCCTTGCAGTAATCTGATGTATCTGCGATGTTTTTGTGCGGTGGCGGGGTAGGTGGCAGTCAATCACTTTGAATCTTGAAAATCCGAGTCATGGACAAAAACAACAACGGTTCTTGGAACGAACGGCGGTATGCGTGTGCATACAGTATTACCGTGGGTGATATGACACAAGATACCACACCCCCCGGACCAACT